TGAGGAAATTCCGGCATATAAATATACTCCAATTAAGTGTCAGCAGTTGTCAGCAGTTGTCAGCAGTAAAAAAAAATACCACTGACACCTTTCCTGGAGTTCCAAGCCCGAAAGCGAGTCTTCTCGATAAGTGTCAGTAGTGTCAGTAGTGTCAGTAGTATTTTTATCCGATTTCCGTTTTTTTTTATTTTTTTTTATGTATACGTACATATACCACATATATACCATATATATATATCATATATAGGAAAAGTTTCATTTTTTTTCCTAGAAATAGATTTTTTACTACTGACACTACTGACACTTATAATAAAGTAATCAAGAAAGAAGAGAAAAAGACTAGGAAGCTCAACTAGACTAAGAAAGGTGTCAGTAGTTGATCATATTCAACTACTGACAACTACTGACAAAAATATTTTTAAAAAAACGCCACTAAACTCACGCTTAATCATATATATTTTAATTACAATACTATGTATGGGATTTATATGCTTACCTGTCATTATCCAATTTTTTGATATACCAATACAGAAAAGTGATACACAAAAGTAAGATTTAAAAAAAAATGTCATCAAAGATTTTTCAATGACAAGAAAAAAATGCCATTAACACCTTTCCTGGAGTGATACTTATAGATGACCGTCAACACGTGTTGACGATGGACACGAATGCTACATGGCGGAATCTAAAAATGCAGAATACTGATCAATGCATCATTGACCACAAAATAGTCTATTTTATGATGATGAAATCGAGTCATATCCCGTCTTCGAGATTGCTTTTCCTAAAGTGCTACATAAAGTTGATCGCAAACCATGGTTCATGATTGACACATTTGTTACATATTGGAACCTGAATGCGGGGTATGAATACATATTTTTTTACCGTCCGATTAAATATCAGATTTAACATCCGATTTAATACCTAAATGATAACATAAATGCGGCCAAAAACGCAAAATACACTGCACTTGAATGTAGCCAATTTCACGATCCCATCTAGGCGGCCAAAAAATAAAAAATGGCCGCACTCGAATGTAGCCAATTTCACGATTCCATCTGGGTGGCCAAAAATTAAAAATTGGTCGCATTTTGGTTAGATTTTTTAGATCACATAGCTTTTTAAGCTTTGAAGACAACAAAACGGCTAAAAAAGATAGTTAGATAATTAAGCAGTCTATAACGTCTGTAGACGTTATCTGATGTGTAAATAAAAAATCGAACTAAAATAAGACAAAAATGCGGCCTAAAAATGAAAAATGGCCGCTCTCGAAGGTGGCCAAAAAACAAAAATTGGCCGCTTTCGAAGGGGGCCAAAAAACAAAAATTGGCCACATATTTGGGGAAGTTATAATCTACCTACAATGGTCTATTTAACACTCAAATGCGGCCAGAATCATAAAATCAACCACATAGGGAGGTTATAGTCTAGAATAAGTGGGGTGGTTGTAGTCTGTACAGACTACAACCACCCCACTTAAGCCATTCTTTTCTTCACAGAGCTTTAAGCCATGTATTTGTTTTTCAGGAGGAAAGACCGTGTGGGTTGTGCGAGTTCTTTGGTGATGAACTCTGGGAAGACATCTTTGTTGAATTTCAGAAACTTTACTCCTATTCATCGATCTCAGATAGTATTTATGACTATACATGCAGCCCAAGGTATTTTGACACTGTCATAAAGGGGGTTACACATGTAGTAAAGGGGTGTTACACTTATGTTTTTAAATAGTGAATGCTGTAATTAATTTCTACTTTCTACCATCAAAATTGGAATAATTTTGACCATCAAATCACCAAACCAATTTGGGCTGCATGTATATTTATGACTTATTTACATCTATCATGAAGGTAATGTGTTGGATTTTTCCATTTCTTTCAAAAAGGAAGTGCTGACCATGTGAATATATCAATATATTCAGATTACATGTGAGATTCAAAATCGTAAAGAATGGCAAGAAGCTGCAAGATGTTGTCTGAAAGATTTTGATGCAACAACCGAGGAAGAAAAGATATTTGTGGAAATTTTCACAGACTTGTATGTAAACCGTAACAAATTTCTTAAATTTTTAAACTAACTTACTTTTGTTTATTACAGAATTGAAAATGAACAGTCTTCGTTTGTAAAAAACAATACTATTGAAGATACCCATGTCATTCAGAGTGTTACCCCAATAATAATAAGGCCCTTTTTTAAAAATAACAGAAGAATTGTTTTTGAAGGGTATGTGCTGATGATAATATTCTGTATGCGTCATTTATATATCCTTATTTTTGTTTACAGGGCAAACAAAATGTCGGAATCTTCTGCCACCACTCAAAGGTGCTTTGATCCAGTTCTTCTTGGTGCAAAGCCTGATTTTGTTGTTAAAACAACGAATCCAAAAACACATATTGAATTGCTAATTGGTGAGATAAAACCACCAGCAAAAGAAGGTGCGCTCGTATCGGATGATCTGATCTCACTCGGAAAAACAATGAAATGCGCTCTAGACAAATCGATCGAGGACGGTGTTGATGATCTGGTTATATGTGGTTTACAAATTATTGGTACGTTAAAAATTATAGAGTAACTGTCTCTCCCTTTTATATTTTATATTGATCGTTTACCTTTTATTTTTTATAGGATTTTTAGGGAGGGTCTACGTGATGGATTTTTGGTATCATGGAATATACCGAATGATTTTAATCAGTGAGTTTGAACTTCCAAAGGGTTCCACATCATGGGGCACCATTTTGAATTGCTATCAGGTCATGAATACAATTCGGGTAAGCAAATAATAAACTGCCACACGGTATCAGTCCGCGATAAGAATGAACTTAAAGCAGACAAAATCAGATAAGAAAAAATGATAAAACCAATGTTCCTTGATCCGATAAAGATACCAATTTAAAATCAAATTGACGAATCACAAACACGGGTGACAGATTAATGAAGATGGCAGATTATTTTGAAAACATAGTATCACGGCTTTATATTTCTTAATATTGTATCTTGGTGCAGTGTTGTGTTGAAAAATTTTATATATTATTTACTCTTTTGTATTAATTGGCAATCCGTTTATGAATGGGTGCAATGTCGATCATTTTATTATGAAATTTTGTTGCTAATTGTTATTAATAAAATGAGAAATACCCCAAATCTCACCGTCTTCACAAGTTATTTCTCATGTACACACAAAAAATATAGAAAACAACCTTAGAATTCTTTCAGGCTTGTTAAATACCTCTTTAAAATTCTTTTGCAGTTATTTTATTGACTTGACTTATAACAATACATAGGTTCATTTGGTGGGTTTTATTAAAATAAAAGTTTTTTTGTTAATAAACCGATAAAAAAAAGAGCATAACTCTGGTCAGAATACTTGATAGTGTTGGCTGAAAGTTAAAAAATTCTGAATTTTTATATATTATTGACTTCTTGAAATCTCAGCAGCCTACATACAAAAGTTTTCAAGAAACATTCCAAACCCTTTAATATTTTAATACAGTAATCTATGAGATTTACTTTATATATAACATAAAAAGAATAAGTTTGTAATACAGAAACGTTGTGCTTTATTGTTTGTTAAACATTATTGATTGGTGATTTTTTTACATTTTTGCCCCACCGATCACACAAAAATTCTCTCATTCATTCACGGATTGTCAATTAAATATTAAGAAAATGGGGTGAAAATTTTGGCCAACTTATCGAGTAAACCAACTTATTGAGTTTACATATGTAGAAAGAAAATTCAAGACAAATTTTTTTTTAGATTAATAGACTCCTTTTTAAAGCTGAATTGAATGGTGGTGGATTTTTAAAATCCAATGTGTGGATCACATAATATTTCAAAAATTTTAACTTTTGAGTACAGATAATCTGTGCTGTATAATAATTTTAAAGGTATTAATTAGTATGGGGGAATTTCTAGGAATATATGGTTAGAGAAGGATCTCCCTGACCAAATTTGAGGTTTTGCAGGGATTGTCACTCATAAAAAATTTATTGTTGGAATAATTTATAGTTATAAATTTAAACAATCTAGCAAGATACTATATGTTTTATTGAAAGACATAAACCTTTCATAGCATTGGCTTTGTTTATTGACTGATTATTTTTTATATACTAATTTAATCTAATTATGATTATTTATTCTTTAGTTCCAATAAAATATTCTCTTCTAATATAATCATTGTGTTTTTTCATGTGTAACTTTTTTTAATTGATAAAAAATGATTCTAAATCAAATAATTTGTAATGTTATTTTAGTTAATTAATTATGAATATCTTGACAATTATAACTAATACAATTTCCATTTGGATCAATAGTGACCTGGCCATTATTATCCATAGTAGTGACACTACCATTACAATCCACAGTAATAGTGTTATTAAAATTATTTAAAGTACTATTAGTTCTAATGATATTATTAATTAAATTTTGATTAATATTAATGGATTTAGCATCAGCAGCCTTTTCAATTTCAGTAGCCATTGTTTGAATATCTTTAACATTGCTCTCTTCCTTTTCATCATCATCATCATCACTATTTTGTGTTAGATCAATAAAATTTAATTCATTCTCCATATTTGAATTATTTTTATTTATAACACCACAATTGTTTTCCTCGCCTTCACCATCACTTGAATCTACAATGAAAATATTATTTTCTATCTTTCTTTTTTTATTTGGAGAATGTTTATTAAATGTATCATCAGATTCATCAATATCGTGAAGTTTATAGGCTTTTTTACATTCTGACCAATTGCCATTTGAATCAATTACAATTGTTTCTTGATCTTCAGTAGTTTTTGCTAGAATTTCATTAAAATAGCTAATGAATAGAATAATAGATTAATATTTATATATTTTATAATTTAATAATTGATTAATTAATTGATTGATATTAATTACCCATCAATCACAATTTCCTCCCAAGAGTTTAGTGGTTTGTTACAAACTGGACATGTCCATGTAGGAAGTTGCTCATTCATTCTAAAAAACAAAAGGGCATCAAAACATTGTATATGGTTACAATGAATTGACCTACAAGGTATGCTTATTCTACATTGTCCCAACTGATAATAATAATGATGATGATAAGAGATTCAATATTAATTTAGGAGGTTTGTTTTGAAAAAAAATAAAATAAAAAAAAAATAAACATTAATAATAATTCTACCGGATCTTTTAATGAGATAATACTTGAGGTTGCAACTACATCGGAATCTTGAATTTGTTTTTTAACTTTTCAATAGTTGAATAAATAGTAATTATTATTAATAATGAGCAAAAAAAGATATGCATTATTAAAAACAATTGAAATATTGAATTTACTTTTTTCTAAAACAGCTTCTTTTTCAATGTATTTTCCATTCTTAATCTTATCAACAATTTCTTCAACTAAGATAGTTTTAATCAACAATACAATTATCAAGTATTTCTAATAATAATATAATATCACAAGTATGATTAGACCATAATATAATTTGAATATAAATATAATTTACTATTGGCAAAATTTACCTTTGAAGTAGCTGCAAATCCAAAATGGACTTGATTTACATGTGCTGAAGTTACTTTGCATAAATCTGTGATGTCTCGAGGGGGTTGTGCATCTGATCTGCTCTTTCTCTAATTTTATTAATTAATGTATTAAATTAATCGATTAATTAATAATATAAACAAAAAAATAAATATTTATGATATTTACATAAGGTGACATTTTATGATTGACTCTAACTTCACAAGAATCAGGGAATTCAACCAATGATTCATTTTGTATATTTTGTAAATTTTGTTCAGCAGAGCAACAAAATAAGTTTATCTTATATCTGGGACTAATCATAAATGAATAAATATATAATTAATCAATTAAAGCAATGAAATAAGTTGTGATTAATCAAGTGTAAATACTCACCTTGACTTTAATTTTCCAACTTGATTAGAATTGAGAACAAAATCCAAAAGAACAATCTCATTAGAACTTGTAACTATTAATTTAAAATAAGTATTATTTTTGAAAGTAAATTAGATATCAATCATAATAATAAATCTAATAATAATAATTTATTTAAAGATTTACCAGAACATATTTTTGGTAGTGATAATCTTTCAATAATGTTATAAAATGGAGATGATTTAAATCTTAAATCATTGTTTGAATACAATCCTAGTAATATATGATTGTTAAGAATTAACTGATTGATTGATTGATTGATTTTATTGATTGATTAATTAAGGTTTGATCTCTTTAAGTAGAATAAAATAAAAACCTGCAAGATTGTTATTTATATTGATGTTATCACTGATCTTTCTAAAAGATATTATAAAAATATATATTAAAATGTCAGTAAATAGTATATATGTGTGTGTATCTTTAAATTAAAGAAAAAAATAATAATGATTATTTTTACTTTGTATTAGTATTACGGGACCATTTTGATAAAACAATTTCAAGCGCCTGATTTGCTCTGGTGGTATCTTTTGAGATTGACCCCAAGTATGATACTAAGTTATTATTTATAACTGACTTTTTATAACTTTTTGCAATTTTGATGTTTGCATTTAAATGTGAATTTAACCTTTTCGCGTGATATAACAATTCATCCTTTTTCATCTTACCAATAACCTTTAATGCTTGCTATATTATAAATAATATATATAGTAAATAAAAATAACCATTATTGGTACAATCGTAATTATATTATATTATTTGTAACCAGTTCATTGTTTTATTAAATAAAGTGTATTTTACGTGAAATACATAATTCTACTTCAAAAATGGAGGTTTTCAGAACAATTTTCATTTGAAAATTAATAGTTACTTGCAATAAAATGACGCATAATTTCACCAAAATATTTACAAAAAATATAATTAACTAACCTCATATTTTTTATTTAACATTTTTCATTCATTTATTTTTTTTTTATTTTTATTTTAATAAGTTTTGAAGCTTTCTTTTTAATACGTGTTTAAAAATTCGACCAATTAAATTTGCACAAAAAAAATAAACAATCGAAAGATCTATATTGTAGATTTTTTTGAACATAAAATTTTTTTATATACAAAAAATCGAAAAAGTAAAACCATTGTTTTGAAGTACGTGTATATTATAATGTATTCATATGCCAATTTTGAATGGTGGATAAATCTAGAGTTTGAAATTTTTATATTAAAATTTCTTACATATATTGATCAGTGAAAAATCCATACATATGATGTTGAAATTTGTTCTCATATATATATATCTTTTTACTTCTCTTTATCGCGTCTTATTCCAATTATCAGTTTCTGGTTATCCCAAATATCATGGCAAGTTCATGGTACATTTATTTTGACAAAACAGCAGTAATATATGATTGTTAAGAATTAACTGATTGATTGATTGATTGATTTTATTGATTGATTAATTAAGGTTTGATCTCTTTAAGTAGAATAAAATAAAAACCTGCAAGATTGTTATTTATATTGATGTTATCACTGATCTTTCTAAAAGATATTATAAAAATATATATTAAAATGTCAGTAAATAGTATATATGTGTGTGTATCTTTAAATTAAAGAAAAAAATAATAATGATTATTTTTACTTTGTATTAGTATTACGGGACCATTTTGATAAAACAATTTCAAGCGCCTGATTTGCTCTGGTGGTATCTTTTGAGATTGACCCCAAGTATGATACTAAGTTATTATTTATAACTGACTTTTTATAACTTTTTGCAATTTTGATGTTTGCATTTAAATGTGAATTTAACCTTTTCGCGTGATATAACAATTCATCCTTTTTCATCTTACCAATAACCTTTAATGCTTGCTATATTATAAATAATATATATAGTAAATAAAAATAACCATTATTGGTACAATCGTAATTATATTATATTATTTGTAACCAGTTCATTGTTTTATTAAATAAAGTGTATTTTACGTGAAATACATAATTCTACTTCAAAAATGGAGGTTTTCAGAACAATTTTCATTTGAAAATTAATAGTTACTTGCAATAAAATGACGCATAATTTCACCAAAATATTTACAAAAAATATAATTAACTAACCTCATATTTTTTATTTAACATTTTTCATTCATTTATTTTTTTTTTATTTTTATTTTAATAAGTTTTGAAGCTTTCTTTTTAATACGTGTTTAAAAATTCGACCAATTAAATTTGCACAAAAAAAATAAACAATCGAAAGATCTATATTGTAGATTTTTTTGAACATAAAATTTTTTTATATACAAAAAATCGAAAAAGTAAAACCATTGTTTTGAAGTACGTGTATATTATAATGTATTCATATGCCAATTTTGAATGGTGGATAAATCTAGAGTTTGAAATTTTTATATTAAAATTTCTTACATATATTGATCAGTGAAAAATCCATACATATGATGTTGAAATTTGTTCTCATATATATATATCTTTTTACTTCTCTTTATCGCGTCTTATTCCAATTATCAGTTTCTGGTTATCCCAAATATCATGGCAAGTTCATGGTACATTTATTTTGACAAAACAGCCATTGAATATTGGGTCATTTTCAGTTCTATAAGAAATGGGTCAGCAATAATAAAGGGAATCCAATGAAAAAAGCTTCCATATGATTATGACTACATGTTCAGATGATAAACAGATTAGGGAAGCCGAAAGCTTCTTGGCTGCTGTTAAAGAAAGTATCTTTTCATTTTTTTTTTGAGTTTTTTAGTACTACTGTATCAAGATAAGGGTTTCTATATGACAAAATTTCATGTCATTCTATAACAAGGAGCTGTAACTGCTTGTTATTCCTTTGATGAGCTGTTTTCTTGTTATAGTCACTGATTTTTTATTGGTGAGTAGAAACCCTAAATGCTTGTTAAAACATCTACAACTAATGATGGGAATTTTTAACCTACACTTAATAACTCCAAGTTATTAATATAGTGCAAGTCACTTAGTTGCTGAACTTTTTATTGGCTGTGTAGATCCTTGATCTCCTCCAAAAATGGAAATGTATGACCAAAAAAACAAATCATAGAATTAAAGCTAAGACCTTTCCCTACAATCCAATGATTTTATTTCTTTGATATGTAACATTACCATATAGAAGAACGATACATCAAAGTTCAAGAATTTACTATGTTAACCCCCCAGATGGTGTGTTACATGGAAAAAATTATATTAAAAATGAACGAATTGGAAGAATTGAAAATTTTGAATTTTTTAATGGCTGATCTTTATCACGTGATGATGACAATGATGAAATTTTACAACTGAGAACGCGTTGCTTTTTTATGTATTACGCAATCATGCATGCCATGCTACACAAGAACAAAAATTTATCTATTTTAGCATCATGTTGACATTAAAATTAAGTTGGTTTATTTTTTGGTCTATTTATGTATATGTTTTTTGGCCATGAAATAGTTTATTTTATGAAAAACTACATCATTGTACAAAAGATGCTAGGATGTTTCGCATCCAACTATTTTTAGGAGGTCTTTAGACTGAACCAGTTATATATTTGGATATAATTCTGTCCTTGACAATCTTCAAAAAACATGTGACTAAAATTTTTTATTGCATTTTTGATTGGAATATTTTTTCTCAAAATTGGTGTCATGGCACAGCAATAGGAGGTCTTTAGATCAAGCCAACCATATTAATATCAAGTTGGCCATCCATCACTAGAAATGCATGCCTCAGTCCTTCTAGATATGCTTTCTATATGGAGTTCTTGACCACACTTCTTGTAAAGCAGCTTCAATTCATTGGCATTTTTTGGGTAATGTGTTTGCTTATCTAATTGCTCCCTAGTTCACTCCAAAGATGTTCAATTGGATTAAGATTGTGAAGACCAATTAGGTACTTTTATGAAGGCTCAAAATTTTTCCTCTTTGTTTTTTGGCATTTTTATATTTTTAAAAATTTTGATTTTTATAAATGTGATTTTATTTACTAATTTTTAATTTTATTTAATTATGCTAGCCAAAATCACAAAATTATGCATACATATTCTAGATAATCTACAGTGCAGATCATCTATACTCAAGAGTTAAATTTTTGAAATATTATGTGATCCATACATTGGATTTTAAAAAACCCACCACTATTCAATTCAGCTTTAAAAAGGTAGTCTATTAATCTAAAAAAAAAATTTGTCTTGAAGTTATGCTCAGAAGTGCAACAATAATTTTCATGTTACAATATTTTAAATCTCACGACCAAATTTGGTAATGTTTTCTTTTAATGTAATATATTCGTTAAACTTTTTTGTTGTAAAGAACTTTTATTTATTAATAAAAAAAAGGAAATAAATATGTCAAATAAATCAAATGTATCTTGTAGAAAATATTCTATGAAAAAAAAGTTGTTACACGAAATTTACTTAGTCTCAATTTCTTAAGTGTATAACAAAATTCGGAATTTTCAAAATGC